GACCTGAAGCACTATGAGGACCCTTGGTAGTGCTGGCCGGAGAGGCCCCGCGAGCTGGGGCACGCTGCCACATACGCACAAACTTCGACAACCCTTTCTGACCCTTGGACTGTTCCTCAACAGCCTGCTTCAGCAAGCCCAGTGCAATCTCCTTAACGGAAAGCCCCCGCTCCAGCGCCAAGCTTGCTCGCACCTCCTCCTCGGTCATGCCCATGTCCTTGCCCTCGGCTTACTGGTTGAAGAACTCCTCGAGCAAAGGGAGCGGCTGATCACGTTATTGAGGGGAGTCCAGTATGCCAAGCTTCGCCAGGTTCCGTTGGATGCTCGACTTTGGGGTCCCGCCGGGCGATTTCTCCCGAGCACGTTTTGCGTCCCCGACCTCACTTCTAATCTCGTCCAAGAGACGCTTGACTTGGCGGATTGTTGAGAGGAGCGGCTGTGGCAGGGGAGCCGATGCCACAGGATATGCAAAAAGCAAAAAGAAGAAAGGACGAGAGAAGAAAGAGCAGACTAAAAATACATGTGTGGGTAGTTTAAACTTGCCGGTGCTTAGCTATGTGCCGATAAAGATAAAACCAGAAATAATTGCTTGGTTTTCTCGAATCCAAGATCTTTGCCACAAAGATAAAACCAGAAATAATTGCTTGGTTTTCTCGAATCCAACATCTTTGCCCGGACCATTGTCGCAGAAAACACGAAAAGAAAAGAAGAAGAGAATTTCGCACAAATCAAGACTTTCGGCGTTAAGAAATCCATTCGAAAATGCGCATAAGTGCTCGGGGCTTGTTTTTTTTTGGTTTTGGGGTTAGTGACTTCGTGCTGCTGGTTTGGGGTTTTTAAGGGGGGGGGGGCTTTAGGGATTCAGAGCTTATGGTTACGCAATCGCAAATACAGGCTTCTGGCAGCGCTCGTCGCCGTTCGTCATCTGGAGGCACCTTGCTGCAGCGCCGCCCCCCCGCCCCCCGGATGCCTTGTAGATGCTCTAGACCCCGCCCCCGGACCCCGGATGCCCTGCAGATGCTCTAGATTGCCACAAAATTGGCCGCCTTTCGGCGCCCAAAGGCGGCGTGGCCAGAAGAGCGCCGCGCAGGTCGTGAGCGAGGCGCGTTTCTGCAGAAGAAGTTGACCCAATCCTGTCAAGTTGTATATACTAGGTCGCAGGGTTGTGGGGGCGGTGGGGGTGCTTTGTTTCAGAGGGGGGCTTCGACCCAAAAAAAGAAGTTGCCTGAGACAGGCTGAAGACAGCATTTATCAGGATTGAGGAGTTTCCGGGCAGGGCTTTGCAGATTCCCCGGAGCGCAGTCTTAGAGTACTAGCTGTTCTCTTCCGGTGTTTCTAGTTAGCTACCTGGAGCAGTGCCCAGATGTTCCAGCCGAGTGCCGTTTGACAGAGAGCACATATGCCAATGTCGAATTGGCATCCGTGTCGTCTTTGAAACCAAGCAACCTGCGGCGTCATGCAGATAGCCCGGGTCATGCACTGGCTTTGGCAATTTATGAAGACAAAACCCCTCCGACCGAGGAGTTGGCTCCGCCGGCCAGTTCTTGGAGATCTTTGTGGGCATTGCTGCGCAAGAAACGCCAGACAGAAACACCGGCAACCGAGGCCTTGGGTAGAGGGAAAGTGCGACTTATGTTGTATTGTCTTGCCGAAGCAATTCGCCAGCGACACAGAGAGCAGCTTCATGCGGCGACTTGTGTGACGTTGTCCATGGATGTAGCGAAGACCCGGCTTCTGGTTCGTTTTTCTGCGGTGACTGCAGAGCTGGTTGTTCGGAGAGGTGTGCTGGGCGCTGGGCATGAAACGCAGCAAAGAAACTGGTCACCAGAGTATTCTGGGTCTGCTAAAATCCATTCTAGCAAATGCTGAACTCGCCAGTCAAAGAGGAGCCATGGCTTGATCATGATCTGTATGAGCATCTTCGTTCCACGACAGTGGTATGGAACAGTGATGCAGCTGGCGACGAGATGCTCGCTGCCCAGGAGAGTCAACGTATTCCAGCGTCCTTGGATGACCTTCTTCCACTGTTCCCCGATCTAACCTTTGTGAACCGTGACAAGGCTCACGCCTCCCGTAGGCGCGCCTGGGGAAAGTCTAGGGAATGAGTTTGGACCTTCCACATTCTAATAATTCCTGAACCTGGGCCCTAATTTTTAAATCCTGAACCCCTTTACCTTACACGCTGTCGCTCAGGGTCGCACAGCGCCCGTGGACAGCGGCGCCAGAATTGACCGAGGTGTTCAAGACCTTCTGTTCTTGGTTCAAGACTATCCAGTTCTCTCCACTGCTCCAGGGGTGGTCTGAGCACTTCCAAGCCGAAGCAGAGGAGGAGCAACTGATTAAGGTCCAGAGCTCTCTTTCCCATGCTGCCCATCGGTTTGATTCGACAGGCCGGCCTTTCGCTATCTGTGCCCTCAAATTTCGGAGTGTGCTTTTGACCGCAATCAAGGCGTGGACGCAACGGAAGAACGGCCCGCAGGGAAAGGCAGCGTATCTATTCTTGGATTTCATCAGCGGACCAGAGGGGGCATCCCGGATGGTTCTGGCGGGCATGCTTGCCGATGCCATGGACGAGGCAATGCAGCTGACGCGTGCTTTCGACAGGTTCGCCACCGATACGGCCCTGCTTCATTCGCATCTGCAGCGATTTCTGAAGAATACAGCGACTCTGTTCATTGCAGAGCGATGCGTCGAAACCGGCTTCACCAGCTTGATGCGACAGCATGCGAAGACACAGTCCATCTGGATCGATAAAAATCATGCAAGAACGATTGGGGTCCATGGGGGTCTGTCGGCTGCAGTGCTTGCACAGAACTTGAAGCACATGGCTGCATGGACCGGGCTGGCTTCCAAAGTAATTGCAAGCGGAATTCCCGTCTTTCGACCTGATGTGTTGCTTCCGTATTCTTGCCCTTTCCGGCATGGGGAGTGGGGATGCTTCCAGGGAGCACCTTTGCAAGGAAAGAGCAGACATGCACACAGAGGACCTGGCACGTCTGTGTAGAGCCCTACAAATCGACGTGGATTGTTGCCGCCATGAGTTCACAATGCTGGTGGGAGTGGCTGAAGCACAGAAAGAGATGCACCGCTGCACGAATCTGGAAGCATGGCAACATGCGGTGCAAGTGACTCGTAGATCCCGTGCGAGGCACTCGCTGGATGGGCTAGGACCGCTGCTGGAAGCATACGCTGCGTGGGTTTGCAGTTCCTCCGGGGTTGAGCAAAATTTTTCAGTGCGTGATTGGTTGTCATCCAAGCGTCGACCCGTTGCAGAGCAAAGGGAATTGGATGAGCTACAAACTCATGTTGAAGACATCCCCGATGAAGAGAACCTCTTTCAGGAAGCCTCTGACATATGGGCCCGTTTGTATGGCAAGCCCCGCGCTACAGGACATTTGCCTCGAGCCATAGCACCTTAACCCCCAGCCCTAAGTCCTAACTCATATAAGCCCTAGACCCTGACAATCCTTGAAACCTTTCTGCGCTACGGTCAGGACATCGTTTTTGGGGGTACTTCAAGACGAGCAAGATGCTTGCAGCGGATGCACCGGTTGCGTTTAGCAGAGACGGTCACAGGTTGAGGAGTTCATAGCTGCAGAAAATCTTACTGGAGATGTGCAAGTCGAGACTGTCGCAGGGGCAGCCCAGTTGCAGGCTGCAGAGAAATGGACAGCCAGGCATGATGCAGAGGCTCACCGCCAGGAGACTTTATCTTTCGAGAAGCAAGTTGATGCAGCACACCGTGGTCATTTGTTGGAGCATGAGCTGACACCTGACCTTCAGTGGCATGCTGACCACCTGGAGGCAGGCCTTCAAGCTTGTCTGTTTTTAAGCTCCGGGGACCTCACAATCCTTAGATAAATAGAGCACTGTCTTCACGCTACAAAACACACAGAGCTAGACAGTGATCCTTGAAACGTTTATCTTCTGTTTGTATTTTCAGTATCATCAACCAACACCCCCCGAACAAACCCTGCTCCCTAATCCCTAAGCCCCGAGTCCAGGAGGAGGAGAATCGACGTCGTTGCCAGCGAGAGCAGGAAGCGCACAGGTTCGAAAGACGCATGGCCCGTCCTGTGTTCTGCCTCTTTGGCAAGACTGTCTGCTTGCGGTTCCAGGCACCCGACCCTTCGATGGACAGAGTTCTTGTCCAGTACAACATGCGTCGGGCTACGCCGACAGAGGTGGTGGACTTGTTCGTGGTGCCCGACATCGCCTGTGTTGGGCAGGCGGTGCAGCTGCTGGCCTATATGTACGGCAGCATGATTGGCACAGTGGAATTCTTGCAGTCAGGAGGTTCAGCGGGTGCAGTGGCGGGCTATCTGCCCGCCATTTCTATGCAGAAGCATATCTATATCTCTGATGCTTTTGCTGCTGCCTATCCGGCACTTGATGCATTGCTGAGGCAGGTCCTTGAAATGCCCACGTGCTCTTGGAAGGCAATCGACACGTTGGCGGCGTGGTTGCGCCTGCAGATTCATCGGAAGCAAGCTTCTAAGTACTTGGCTTTGGTGACAAAGGCCGAGAAAGAAAGCGAGAGGGCCTTGAATGAACACAAATACTTCTTGACGCTTGAAGGATTCCTGCAACACATCCAGCGTCTGGATCATGACAGAACGGCCCTGGGAATAGGTATGTCCAATTGAGATTGATTGACAGACAAGAATCACCACAACGACTTCCATACGTTGTGCAGAATGCATGGACTCAGGTTGCATGAACACTTTCTCTGTACAGATTGTCTGGGTGTTGGGGGCAGATGCAAAAAAGTATCTCGAAGACTAGAGGATGATTCACCGTAGAACGTAGTTTTTGCCCACTCCGATGCCTTGCTCAGGCGATGACTCCGCGATTGTTGGGAGCCTGGTGACACTGTCCCAGATCCATGTTGTTGTGCGCAAGCCCTGCTCTAGAATGAAGCGTGTCTGAGCCTGCTACTTGTGAAAGCCACGGAGACTCTCAAAGCTTCCAGCCAGCACCTCAGTAGAGTGTCGTGAGCCATGACAAAGCGTGCTTGCGAGGGGAAGTGGGTTCGCACGGACAAAATGAAGAAACAGCGCTCGAAGCTTGCGCAGTTCAACCGAGCCACGCAGCACAACCTCTCTCCGGAGCATCGGTGGATGTTGGAGACCTCGAATTCTTTCGAGACGGTCCTGGATGCAGCCAGCACGTCCTCGGCTTCCGCTGAGCAGGGGCTGTCTCCAGTCAAAGCTCGAGTATGCGCAGCCGGAAAAACTCCTGATGATGCAATCGTGCAGCTCGAGGGCGACCTATCAGGTGCCAGCCTGAAGAGCATTCCCAGTGAGTGGCTCTACTGCCGCATGTGTGAGTTCGAGGCGCTGAGAGGAACCTGCGAGAATGCCGTGGAAAAGATCTTCTTGGAACTCCATCGGCGCCGTGACTTCCTGGTGCCAGTGTCTGTTTCGGAGGAAGACTCAGACACCGAGTTTTATTCCGTAGCTTCACATGCTGCTTAGGCATAGCTGGTATCCACAGCAAAGGCCAATAAAGACTCTATTGGCTGTGGAGGGGACAACACCAGTGCTTGTGCAAAAAGACGGTTACTTGTTTCGGCAGCTCTGTTATGCGTAGCTCTGGTCCGGCCCTGCTAGCCTCCTCCGATAGCCTAATGTCTCAGGCCTCGCCCATGGGTGCGTCGAAGTGCCGGCCTCAATGTCGCAGCCCAGAGGTTGGCTTGTTGCGGGTCTAGGGTTTAGGGTTGCTTGCTTAGGGTTTGGGGTGTGGGGCGTAGGGTGGCTGAGTGCTACAGACGCGGTCCGCAGCTGCCCCGTGCTTAGACAGCATTGAAAATGGTACCCAAACACCGGCTCTTCGAACAAAAGCCCAGAACCCCCCCCCCCAACTACCCTCTAATATATCCTATAGAGGCACGATTAATCATAATAACAATAAGGACCATAAGGGCTTTACTAGAGGGCATTTAATATTTAAGGGCGTCCTGGAAGGAGGCTGAGACCCCAAAGCCTTAAAGCCTAAATCCTTAAACCCCCCAAAAAATAACGAACCCCCAAAATTCATCTGGGCCTCCGTAGTGGAAGAGAACACCCCTAGGCCAACAATAAGTCCGATCCTTCGAATCGAAGCCATCTTCCCAGGCCAGCGGCCGGGTCCACATTGCCAGGTCCTGGCAGGCGTAGCCGGCTTGAGGGTGTAGGTGTTTTGGGTTAAGGGGGTTAGGGGTTAGGGGTTTAAAATCGAAGCCGGAAAGTTGGAATGTCATTATCCTAATCCCAAAATTACAGGGATCCTACCAATCATCCATATTATGGGGCTACACAGGGGTCCGTTTTGGTCTGAGGCCTCCAGCTGCCCGAAAAGCATCCTTTCTTTGACCCCCCAAAATCATGCTTTCTCTCAAAAACCAAAGCCGACCCAGTGGCCTTCCATAATCCATATGCCAGAGTTTCCCTTAGGCTTTGGGGTTTAGGGTTGTGGGGCTTCGGGCTTCAGGGCTGCATGAGGGCATGAGCTTCAGGGGCTATGCTAGAGCCCGAAGAGTAAAAATCCGAAGCCGTGAACTTTATGGCAGCGCACAAAAGGAAGTTTACTTAAGAAACAGTTTCATTAGTATGTACTTAGATACATTCATACAGATATGTATGTATGTATATATATATATATGTATATAGATATGTATGTTTATATATATATGTCTATATATATGTATATATACATGTCTATATATATATATAGATATATGTCTATATATAGATATATGTCTATATGTATATATGTATATGTACTGACTGTGTGATATACATATATATATAGATATGTATTGCTTCCTTGATTACAACCCGTGTTTGTGAAAATGCTCAGTTTTTTACCTCATAATATGCCTGCCGTTCTCAGAACCTACAATACTTTGCAATGTTGTAGCATGGCATATCACAACTCAAGGCTGACAACGTGTCACTATTACTAGCCACTTTTGCGTCCACATGCCCAACCTGAAAGCCAAGGACCCTAGAAGCCATTGTGCACCATGACACCCACTGAAAACCCCAAACGGGAAGCCCGAAACTCTCAACCCGAACCCGAGACCCTGAAACCTGAAAACCCTAAAGCTCTAGAGCCCTAAAGCCCTAGAGCCCTAAAGCCCCAGAGCCCTAAAGCCCTAAAGCCCTAAAGCCCTAGAGCCCTAAAGCCCCAAAACCCTAAAGCCCTAGGCCCTAAAGCCCCAAAGCCCTAAGCCCCAAAGCCCTAAGCCCTAAAGCCCTAGAGCCCTAAAGCCCTAAAGCCCTAGAGCCCCAACGCCCCAAAACCCTAAAGCCCTAGGCCTTAAAGCCCCATAGCCCTAAAGCCCTGAAGCCCTAGAGCCCTAAAGCTCTAGAACCCTAAAGCCCTAAAACCCTAAAGCCTCAAACCCGAGACCCTAAATCCAGAAACCCCAAGACCCTAAGACCTTACACCCGAAACCCCAAGCCCCAACCTTAAAAGCCTAAAACCCTAGCCCTAACCCCGAACCCACCAGGTTCGCCAATTCGTTCGCCGAGGCCAAGGGTTTTGGGTTTTAAGGCTTGGGCAAGGGTTTTTAGGGTTTAGGGTTTTAAGCTTGGGCACCGGGTGCCGCGGCACCCCGTGCCAGGGTTTAGGCGCTGAGGCTCCGTGACAAACCCTTAAGGAAGAAGCTGAAGAGCTCAAAAATTCGTAGGGTTTTAGGGTTTAGGGTATAGGAGTAGGGCTTAGGGTTTAGAGTTTGTGTTTAGAGCTTAGGGTTTAGGGCTTGGGGTTTAGGGTTCAGGGTGTCAGGGTTTTAGGGTTTCCTGCTTTGGTGTTTCGAGTTTCCGCTTACGGATTTCGGGTCTGTGGTTTAACTCGGGGTTTACTTTCAGGGCAGAACCCCAACCAAGCTAGCACGAGCTCTAAATCCCAAGTCGTTTATAAGCCCTAAACCTCCAGCGTCCCCAATTCCTTGAGCGGCGCACAGGCTGCTGAAGGAGGAGCTGGAGTTGCAACAGCTTCGCCGCGACCTCCGGCTCGCCTGCATGAACGGTTTCTGGGTCAGGGTTGCTGGCAGAGGTTGACCCAACACATAGCAGAAAACACGACCCCTTAGGGCAAATCTTCCTGGGAAGATTTTTCCTAACCCCGCCCCGCAAGGGATCCCCGCAAGACCCAGAAGCTGGCACAGGCCCCCAGTGCGTCGGCCGATTCAGAACCATGCTACGGCTCGGTTGGGCGGGATTTTCCTAGGAATGTCCCCCTCAAGAGCTCGTGTTTTGAACCATGGCTTGGGTCAACTAGACAGGGGATCTCAGATGAAATGCTGCTCTCGTCCGAAGCCAAGAGCATCAGTCACTTTTGCAATCCCAGCACTACCCGGAGCAAGATGTCGTCGCGTGGCTTGGCTGCTGTACGAACACAGTCTCTCTGTTTCTTATCTCTCTCTATCTATATACATACATATATATATATCTCTCTCTCTCTCTCTCTCTCTGTCTCTGCCTGAACACATGCAATCTAAGGTGACCGCCCTCGGTCACCTTATAAGTTGAACAGAAAGCACACACTCTCTCTGTCTCCTTCTCTTTCGGTTGACTCTGGCGTGGGTTGGGTTTGCTGTCTTCGATCCACAGCCCAGGTCGCAAAGCGGTTGCTGATGCGGAACAGCCACCTTTGAAAAAGTCTCAGAGAGTGGCGCCGGCAGAGAGCTCTTCGAATGGGCTCAACCTCAACCAGCAGTTCATCAAGGACTTCGAGGAACATATCAGCCAGCTGTTCGACAAGTACCCGAACTTGGAGGAGATGCCTGGCCTGTGCGTCACAGAAGGAGGAAGTGGAGCGAGATTTTCTCAGGAGGCCTGTACGCAGTCTTTGTCGACGGGAGGCATGTTTCGTTTCAACGGAAGCATCTTCATCCACGACATCCGGTACCGTCCGTGGCCCACGCTGCCCGTCAATCGTGCAGCCATCTTGGAACAGTTGGAGACGCACTACCGTGATGGTCCACCGGAGGCCGTGCCGTTCGACATCACGGTAGTCTCCGATGGCATGGACGACGACTTGATGTCCTTGCAAGGGAAACTCAAACGAGTGTCCCCGGAGGAGCCTGTCTATGCCCTACTCTATGCAGCTGCCATGGCAGAGACTGAGGAGGACATCGAGGCATACCAGCGCCTCTTGCTCAATGTGCACTACAAGGCCTGCAGTTTGTGCATCGAGCAAGAAAAGAATCGCACAAGAAAACACAGTGCAGCAGGGCCATTTTTTTGTGGCTAGGGTTTTGTGATTCCTGAAGGGTTTAGGGTTTACGGTTTGGGGTTTAGCTCGAGCCCTGCAGGTGCTCTCACGACCCCCCAACGCAGATTTGGGCAAAGAAGCGATCTCTCTCCGTGAGAAGATGACGGATGACGTGCGCGCCATCAAAAGGACTCCACTGAGCATGATGCTGCTCATGGTGGAGAAGAAGAAGGAGATCAAAGGACCAGCCGGAAAGGTCACCACAGAAAAAGTGTACCAGTACTTCAAAGCCTGTCACTGGTCCAAGGAGTCCGAAGCACCCTCCCTGAGTTTCCTGGAAAACTGCTTTTCCCTGTGGAACAAAATCGAGGCGGCACCCGGGATCCTAGACACCATCCAGCGCGCCGAGATGGAGTTCAATCAAGATTCTCCTTTCTCCTCGGTTCAGCAGATGTACCACATAACCTTGGCATGCAAGAAGGCTACACCTGCCAAATTGGCGTGGGTGTTCGAAGCGATCCTGGATGGAGCCAGAGCCCAAATCTTGTCTAAGGATGACCTAACGAAGAGTCGACTTTCCGGTGCTGAGAAAGTGAACCCTGTTCACGTCGTCGCCTTCAAGTACGACCTGCTCCAGGAACTGCTGCACACCGAGTTGGCGAAGTTGGATGGTACCCCACAGGACGGCTCTCGATTTGTTGCGTTCGGGGGTTTAGGGTTTAAGGCTTGCGGGTTTACGGGGTTAAGGGGCTAGGGTTTAGGGAGGGTGGAGTGCTGCGAGTGTCTCCAAAGCCACATTGCCGCCCCTGCTGTTGTGAACCATCTGAACCTAAGCTACACTTTGGCTTTCTCTGGGTCGGGTTCAAATCAAGTTGGTTCAAGAGGGCATTGAGCTCAAAAAAAGCCTTGCACCTTTCAAGCCTTTCGCCTCTGAAATCCTGGCGCAGGATGCGGCAAACCTGCGAGACAAGCTGCAGAAGCATCAGGCTTTCAGGGAACATTGTGGCTTCAGAGGGGCCGGTGATGCGCATGCGCATAGCTGGCACAGCTCTCTTTCTGTTTTGCTGGCAACGTGGCTGTTCTTGTAGCTTTAAGGTTTCGGCTTTGTTGGGCAATATAGGTTTCTTTGGTCGCGGTTTAATGTTTGGGGTTCACAGGGTAGCTTCGTCGACCTTGTGGACCATATCATCTTCAGCAAGCTGCACGACACCTGCATTCGGAGTTGCATCAAGCTGAGCAAAGTGCCCGCAGATGCGTTGCTCTACGGCTCAATGGGGGTTGCTATCGGCAACATTCACAAGAAACAGGAGCAGATGCGGGAGGAGGCCAAAGCGGAAGCAGCCGAAAAGCTCAAGTGCGTGAAAGACTCGGAACAGGCAGCACCTGCTCCGCTGGCAGATGGCCAGAGCGCGCAGAGTGTGCCGCCCATCGCAGCAGAGGAGGACGAGACTGCAGATATGGATGATGAGATGGCCGAGGCCTGGGCACGCTGGAAGGCCAAAGCGACGAATAAGGTGCGACGACATGTTGAGCTTTTGGTGAGACCTTCGAACTCGAGTTCCGAGGAGATGTACCAACTGTTCCGGGACAGCGCTACCTACAAGCTGCCACTGCCCTCGGATAAGCACTATCACATGCACGTGTACGACTGCAAAACGGAAGGTGAATGCAAAACACGGCCACATGTGCGGAAGCCAGTCCACCGGCCGATGTACATGATTGCAGCCGTGCAGGCTTGCCTGAAAGCGCGATGCGAGGAGGAGGATGACGACGCTATCTATGTCACGAATGACAGCCTCTATTGCTTTTTCGATGCCTGCAAGCATGAGCTCATCGCGACATTCGAGAAAGCTTTCCACACAGAGAACAACAGGATGCAGCGGGCCAAGAAGATCATCTACGTGACGTATGACGAGGCCACACTCCTCCGCCGAAACCGTCTGAGGTGCCATGATGTCGAGATGGACGTGGTGGAACATGCACGCCTCATCACCCTGGACCCACTTGTGGTGGAGTCACGCAAGCGCCTCTTCTTCTCGAAAGACAGGAATGCTGCGAGTCCTGGTCTCCATGCACAATCGGAAATATTCGGTACAGTGTAGAGTGATCAATTCCTGCCAGCACGGCTTACCACAGAACCGAGAAAGACTCTTCATCATTGGCATCGATAAAGACAGCCAAGGAACATGGATCTGGCCCGAAGCTGTCGGTCACGCCAGGCTGAATACCATTCTAGACCCCCTTGGAAGCCCCGTTCTGCCCAGCTGTATGCCGCCTGCCTCACAGTCCACCGCCCGCAGGAATTTCGTGGAAGCCTGCAGACAGATCATTGAGCGATTGCAGATTCATCCTTTCCACTCAGACATTGCGGTTGACATTGACTCTAGCTGGGGCCCTCGTTGGATGCAAGGTATCGTGCCCTGCCTGACACGTGCACGCTGCAGCAGTCAATCACACTGGTTCATGAACAGAGGCCGTCGAATGAATATCCGAGAGATGTTGAGAACCATGGGAATACATCCCAGAGATGTTGACCTGGAATGTGTATCCCGTGCACAATTAGGGAAACTGCTAGGTAACGCCATGTCTGTGCACCTGCTGGAAAGACTGCTGCGCATCTTGCTATCTGTGTCAGGCTTAGTCCCTCGTGCAGCAATGACAGCCAAATGGGAAACTGCGGATGCCATGCGTGCCTCCGCGCAAGACTTGGCATGTGCTTGAAGAAGCGCACTTCCAGTCGGCCCTTTCCTGGACACCAGGGGTGAGTGACCGTACCAGAGGGGCAGCGCTCAAAAGGTATCGGGCAGTCCTTTCATTTCGGATACATCATCTGCAGACGCCACGTGCAGGGTTCGCTGCTGTTTAGGCCGCTGTCGGTAACTCAACAAGGTAACCTGAAACCCTAAACCCTAAAATCCTAGAGAGAAAGTCGAAGCAACCTGCGGACGAAACCTGCGCCCAAAACCAAAAAACAGTAAAACCGTACCTAAAGGGTCCAGGTGCCAGAGCATTCATATGGTGAGGGTTTGCTTCCCGAGATAATTTGCTGCAATTGGCTTCTTAGCTAAACCAGCGATCCAGGACGATTTGTTTTATTGGAATGCTTGAAGCCCTAAGCTAATCTAGCTATGTAATGCTATATACTAGCCACATTATTGACTTCAAGGGCCCCCATTAGAAAGCGGAAGACCAAACCCCCCAAAAAAAAAGATGCCAGGGACCGACAAGCTTTGACGCCTTCAGGTGCACCCACCCTAAACCCTAAACCCTAAACCCCTAAACCCCTAATCCCTCTAAACCCTACCCCTGCTTTTTGATTGCAGGACTGGGGCCCACGCTGGATGCAGGGAGTGGTGCCTTGCCTCACACGTGCACGCACTGGAAGGGAGTCTCATTGGATTCTCAATCGAGGGCATCACATGAATGTCTATGAGGTTGCAGGGGTCGTGGGGATACGTTCTTCCCAAATTGTCTGCGGTGCAGTGACGGAGTCTGAGCTTGGCCGCTTGCTTCGAAACGGAATCCCGGTGCATCTCCTGGAGAGGCTGCTCCGCCGAGCCTTTTCGACAGCACACATCGTGCCACTCTCAGACATGCCAGCACGGTGGGACTTCTGCCAGTGCACTCTCTCTTTCTGATTAGCTTCCGTGGCTGAGCGTCCAAGAGCAAGGGAGAGAGAGAGAGAGAGAGAAAAAAAACACATTTGTGGAGAACCTCTGTGCGGCAGAGACTTTACTGCCGCTGGCTCCGGAGTTACTTTTGGCCTATCCGCAATTTGCGGTCAGCCTGACGCAGCACTGGTGCCACAGATTCAGCACTCTTGTCTACATAAACCTTGAACACCCTAAATGTCTGGATTTGGGCAAATGCCATGCACGCATCAGCTGAGACTTCCGCCCCGGCTAAGGTTGAGATGCAGTGCCTCCTTCCGGAATGCGAGCGTACGGGTTTCTCTGGCCCTACAAGGTCAGGATACTTGTTCTTGTACTTGTTGATGAAGCCTTTGCGATGGCGCCGGATGCAGGCCGCCACGGTGTCCTTGGTCATGTGCTTCGTTTTGGTCTTGGCCCCAGGACGTGCGGGAAAGAGCAGCCCTGTTTTCGGCCATGCGAAGTTACCCTTGTCGCTCTTCACGGCAGTCTTCTTGATAGCTTTGAGAGTCAAGAGCACGGAAGGAAGAAGCGGTTTGTAAACACCAGGGTGCTTCTTGAAAGCAGAGATCCAAACCTTCTTGTGCTTCATGTTGAAGTCCTTTCCTTCCAGCCTCGCGGCTTGTGTTATCCGCAAGCACAGTGCGTTGGTCAGGAACAACAAAACATAGTATTTGCCTCCAGCATGTTGCTGCATGTACTTCAACCAATCTGACCACCTGCTTCCTAGCAGGGAGTTCGCGCGGCCTAGCTTCCTGGCCCTGGTGTTGTCATGGAGTCAGATGGCTGATACAGCTGCAGGTCATGGTGGATGCACATGATCATTACTAGTGCCCGAAGTACCAAGTATCAGCAGCTGGAGAGAGTTCCCAGCCGAGCCGTAGGATGATGATGATGATGACGATGATGATGATGACGATGATGATGATGATGACGGTGATGATGACGACGACGATGCTGTGCTCATGTTGATTATGATGATGCTGATGATGATGCTGATGTTGGTGATGGTGAGGATGAAGGTGATGGTAATGATGACGATCATGATGATGATGACGATGCAGATGCGGATGATTCTGACGGTGGTGGATGGTGCGGATGATGGTGGTGGTGATGATGATGATGATGATGAACTGTACTCTTAATCCTAGGCCTTCGGCACTCTTCTGGCGCTCTTCTGGCCACGCGGCCACGCCGCTTTTGGGCACCGCTTTGGGCGCCGAAAGGCGGCCAGGGTTGTGGTAATCTAGAGCATCTATAGTGTATCCGGGGGTGGGGTCTAGAGTATCTATAGGGCATCCGGGGGCGGGGGGGGCGGCGCTATAGCAAGGTGCTTCTAGATGACGAGCGGCGACGGCCACGAGCGCTGCTAGAAGCCTGTATTTGGGTTTTCCTAACCATAGGCTCTGAATCCAAACCCCCCTCCCCCTCAACAAAAAAACCCCAAACCACTATACGAAGTCACTTCACTAACCCCAAAACTAAAAAAAAAAAGCAAGCCCCCAGCATTTCTGCGCATTTTCGAATGGATTTCTTAACACCGAAAGTCTTGATTTGTGCGAAATTTTCTTCGTGTTTTCTGCGATAATGGTCCGGCCAAAGATATTGGATTCGAGAAAACCAAGCAATTATTTCTGGTTTTATCTTTGTCGCAAAGATCTTGGGTTGGAGAAAAGCAAGCAATTACTTCTGGTTTTATCTTTATCGGCACGTAGCTGAGCACCGGCAAGATTAAATTTTCCACACATATATTTTTAGTCTGCTTTTTCTTCTCTCGTCCTTTCTTCTTTTTGCGTTTTTTTGCTTCTTGCATATCTTGTGGCATCGGCTCCCCTACCACAGCCGCTCCTCTCAACAATCCGCCAACTTGATTTCCCGCGCCGGAGGCTGCCCACCAAGAGGGAGCTCTGGCTCAGGGTCGTGGTCCTCGGCCGGCGCCGTACGTGCTGGAGATCGCTTCCGGAAGGATGGCCTCTTGGACGGTTGGTGATGGCGGTACCGGCGAAGCCCTTCATCATCTTCAACCCCCCCCCAATATACAAGCACCCCGTTGCGAATCATCTCTACGACCTTCGCCGACGCTCGTAATTAAGGGCATATTGGGCACCCAAAGCCGCAGACCCCGCCTCGTTGTAACGGTCCTCCAGATTCGAACCGGTGCCTTTACACGGGCCACCTGCCAGTTGATGATCGCCATCTCGGTCGGACCAACGAACCCGGCGGGCTTCCCAGGGGCGATCCTCGGTCTCCGACTCAGAACCAAACTCCTTCGGAAGTCGAGCTGGTGTAGCACTGGGGGGCCCACAGCCATGCCCACAAGGTTCGCCCAGCCTTGGCTGCTTCCAGCTCGGCACTCTTCAGCTGAAATTTCTCGGCGTCGAAGTCCTTCGCAACGGCATACTCCTTGAAGTGCTGGCCGTCCTCCGAGCAAACCAAGTACCGGCACAGGCGGACCTTATCACACCCACGGCATGCATTAACGATGGGGAGACTTCCGCGAACTGAATCTGCTTTAACGGAAACGAAGAGGCCGGGGAACAGATGGTTTGATTGTGCGCCCCGATCTTGAACACCACTACATGTCCTTCACGACGAACCAAAGCCCACTTCTCGCCCTGAGGGGAAGATTAAAAAAACCTTAGGTCAGTCGTCTCTGGAATACGACCGGTGCTCGTTTGCCCCAGCTGCTTCCGGAACCACTAGCGGCCTGTTGAGCCTAGTAGATCAGCGTTCCCAGCTTCTTAATGGCATACCGACCCACCCACACTACAGACATCACGATGAAAATCACAAGGGAGATGATGGGCCAGCACAGGGCCCACAGAGAGTGCGCTCCTAAATATAGAAGGAGGAGCATGGACAATCGAAAGAACTTTTGACATCTAGTGCGAATATTGGGCTATACGCTTCCGAATAAAGTGCAGGCCGCCAAACTCGCTGCCGTATAAGGAGCATACAGAGCCCGCTATCCTACGACTAGCCTTTGGCGCCCGTGGGCCCGCTCCCCTGATCCAAGGAACCAAGACTCCCAGATATCTTGGAAAGCTGCTCTTGCCGTCCACTTGTCCTCGGCCCAGGCCTGCAATTGAATCCACCTAGGAAGCTCCTTGCTGGAATTCTTGTACTCCTCAGCTCACGAGATGGAATTGGCTGCATCGAAAAGCCAGCCACCGTTACGTTGTGTTGCCGCGATGATTAGCACCACACGAAGAAAATATGACGTGACGTCCTACCCACCAAGCTTCTAAATTTTAATGAGCACTGGGGATCGAGCGCTTGCTCTTGCTTTTTCTGCCCCCTAAAAAACAATAATTATTACTAACTTCCCATATTACAAATTGCCTTAAGAGATATCTTCGAATCTAGACCATCGACCCACCGAAAGGCTCACAATTAAATAACTCAAATTTCTTTAAGATAATTATCGGGTCTGAATTTTCGGCGCAATAGAA